ACCATGAAGATTGAAATAAAATGTTTATTTTTCTTCTTTCCATTTCCTTGTTCCTCATTACTGTCTCCCTAGTTTCATTTTCTGAGGGGCCTATATTCACTTTGACCTCTCTCTTCATTTAAATTTCTTCTATTGTCAGTCTTAATATTTCTCATTACTTTGCTGTCATAGTTTATTTTCTCTGTCTTTATCATATTTTTGGACCTCATTTACTGGATTCTAGATTTGTGCCAGATTTTGGGGTTGTCATTGACTTTGCCTTTTTTATATGCTTTTTCTTTCAGTTTAATACTCTGCTTAACTTCCTTGGCTAGCCATGGTTGGTTTATCACTCTCTTAGAATTCTTCCTCCTTACTGCAATGTGTTTTTATTGAGAGTCATGGATTACCTCCTGATAACTCTATCCTCATTTCATTGTAATTCCTTTTATTTATGGTAAACACAGTTGTTTCCAACCTAAGTTTCTCACACGCAAACTGAAAATTAAGTTTGATCATTCCTGAGGGATTTTGTTTTACTCTGAGGTCATTTATTAAACCCACCTCAGTATCCATTCCCAGATCCAAGGCAGCCTGCTCCCTAGTTATCCCTGTGACATATTGCTCTAGGGAACTATCCTGAAGGCACTCTATGAATTGGTTGTCATAGCTACTCTTTCCAATTTGAATAATCCAATTAACATGATGATTAAAGTTACCCATTATTATTACTCTGCCTTTTTTTACATGCTCCTACTGTTTGTTGATTTTATAGCCTTTCCTACAGACTGGCTACTGTTTGGGGGTCTGTACACTACTCCTACCAATGTCTTCTTAGCCTTGCTTTTTTTTAAACCTCTGCCAAATGGACTCTATATCATTCCTCTATGCAACCCTATTGCAGCCTATTTCATTTCATCTCTTACTAACAGTGCTATCCTACCCACTTTTCCGCCCCTCCTGTCTCTCTGAAAGATCAAATATCCCAGTTTCGATCTCCTTGTAACCACGTTTTCGTAATGGCTATGAGATTATATTCATTTATCCTCATTTGCACTATGAGTTTGCCTACCTTAATCCACGTCCTTTTGAATTGGCTTCAAACTGATTCTTCCAACATTTAGGTTGCCAGTTTGGAATTCAAAGTGGACTAAACAAGGTTGAAAGCTTGGAGGTAATAACAAGTTGATATTTCCATTTTCTATTAGATGGAAAATGACAGATCGGCCCTGCAGGGACAGAAGAAAGAGATTGAAAAGGCAAAGGCTAACATCCAGGATGTGTTGGTTCGTGTAAAGCAGGAGAAAATGGAGCTGGACACAGAGAAACACGGCCTGGATCAGTCTCTGCAGATTGTGGAGCAAAGCCGTGAGCAGCTACAATGTGAAATAATGATTGTCCGACAAGAGAGAGACCAGTTCCAGGAGCAGCTTGGGCAGGTATGGAAAGCACAAAGTAGATGATAAGGTAAACTGCAGATGCAGTAACTCTAGCTGATAAATCCAACAAATGTTTTTTATATCTTTTGTTTTAAGGGTTGGTCAGTAGTGGTAGAGAACGATGCTAAATAAGGAATGATTTCTAGCAAACCATATTGATATAGAACCTTAAATGTCATGCACACATCATGGGAGCATGATTCAACAAATTATAATACCAAGCCAATCAAAGAGACATGAGGTCAAAGAGGACCAAAGAAGTAAGTCTTGACAATTGTCTCAAAGGAGGAGACTGGGTTCGAGAGCTGTAGCAAGCCAGATTAATTTGTAACAATTCAATAGTGCTAATCATCCAGCTGGAGATCTGATGCATCCATGTTTTTATTACCCCTGGACTTGACTCTTCAATTCACAGCATATCAACAGAAAATGCTGGAAGCAGATCTAGCAGCGTCTGTGGAAATGGAAACAGTGATCATACCAGTGCTGTCGTCTTTCACCACAACTCATGATAAGGAGAGGTTGGATAAGCTGGGATTTCTTTCCACTGGAGCATAGGAGATTTAGAGATGACCATACAGAGGTTTATAAAATCATAAGGGGCGTAGATAAGGTAAATGGTAGGTGTCTTTTCTCTAGCACGGGCACTTTCAAGACTAGGGGGCATATTTTTAAGGTGAGAGGAGAAAGATTTAAAAAAGACATGAGGGGCAACTTTTTTACACAGTGAATATTTTGTGTGTGGAATAAGCTTCCAGAGAAAGTGTAGATGAAGGTATAATTACGACATTTAAAAGACATTTGGATAAGCACATGAGTAAAAAATGTTTGGAGGGATATGGGGCAAGTGCAGGATGCTGGGACTAGTTTGGTTTGGGATTATGGTCAGCATGGACTGGTTGGACCGAAGGGTCTGTTTCCATGCTGTGTGACTCTATGACTCTATGATTGCCCACTGACTATGCGAAGGCAATTATAAATTCAGATGGCCCTCTCTTACAATTTACAAGCCAATCTTCTTGGCTGGGGTGCAAAGACGGCATGTGAACATTGGACATCTGACTGGAAATGGAAAATTCGATAAATTCACAACAGAAAGCTGGCATGGGTTGAACTCGAGGCTTCCAGAGTCAGATCCCATTCTAACTACAATGCAGTCTTTTCCCTTCAGAGACTGGCTGGTCTTTTTCCCTTTCGTTTTTGGCTCTTCCTGACACCTATTTGATTGCGCTTTCTCTCTCTCTGTCCCATGCAGGTAAACAGGCAAAAGCAGGCTCTGAGTGAACAGCTGGCCCAAATACAACGGGACGTAGAACTTCAAAACGAAGGAATCCTCCGAGCCAGCAAAGAGAAAGAGGAACTGCAGAAGGATAAAGCCAACCTGGTGGTGCAGCTAACAGCAGCTGAGAAGGAGAGCAGGGCTCTGGGTGAGGAGGTGGCTGGCCTCAGGTGGGGAATTCTGGAAGTTTAGATTCTACTTAAACTTTCCACTTGAAGTAAATCCCCGGGGTCAAGGGTGGGGGTCAAGGCTGGGCGTTAAATCTTCCTGGGTAAAAAGTGTTTGGAAAAGATAGAGAAGGAAGGAAAGGGGAGGGTGGCGGTATTGGTTAAGAGCTGAAGAAAGAGGACGCCTTCGAGGGGTCAAAGACAAAATCAATTTGACAAGAGCTAAAGAACAAAAGTATGCGATTACAGTGTTATATGTAGTCTATAAACCATGAACTCATAGAACATCAAATCTTCATGGCAATTAGAGAGATGCCACATTATGGAGTAGTTATGATGGGAGACATTAATTACCCAACTATACTGGAATGGTGTCAGAGGCAATGAGGGGCCAGTGTTCCGAGATTGTGTTCAGAAGATCAGGAGAATTTCCAACAGCTATACATGTCCAGTGGGATCTAATTCTTGATCTGATGGTCAGTAAAAAGGTGGAGCAGCCTTAACACTGATCCAGCTCCTCAGAGCCATCGCTCAGAGTGCCAGGATGTCCTGTTTATATCTGTCAGCCAGGGCTCCCTGTTTGGACCAGAATAACAGCCCCAGTTAGGGAACTCATATTCTGTGAGGTTGACCTGGCTGACCTCATGACAATCTCTACACTCCCCACCCTCAACCACCACCACCACAACGGCCAGCCTCCTGAACTCCTGGTTATCACCACAACATATAGTTCCATGTGGCAGTCTGTGTCTGTAATCACCCAGTCTTATTAACTTCACTACCAGCAATTCACATACATGCAGTGTAACCCTGATATAGATTTCATATTCCAACATCACTTACTAACTTACCATTTTCTTAAAGAGATCTATCTGTCACTGGAATAATTTGAAAATCTAAAATTCTTGTCTGATCTTTCCTCTTGGTTCCCTCACTCCTGTTGATTTCATTGAAAAGCCTCTTAACAGCACTAGGAAAAAGCCCAGCTCTATTCAGGTGCAACCCATTCACTTGGGTAGTTACCATCTCCCTAGAGCCTGACCCAGGAATCTAAAGCCCTCTCTCCTGCACCATCATTCCAGCCATTCATTCATCTGTTTTATCCTTATATTTCTATACTCCCTTCTATGTGACGCTGGGAGTAATCCGGAGAATATGGCTTTGACGTTCTGGTTGCTAATTTTCTACGTAGCTTCCTAAATTCTGATTGCAGGACCAAACCCTACTTCCTCCCTAAGTTATTGATATTATCATGGTTCATGACCTCTTGGCTGTTCTCTCTCCCACAGAATGTCCCGCAACCCTGATAACGTTCTGGGGACCCGGGTTCGAATCCCACCATGGCAGATGGTGGAATTTGAATTCAATAAAATACCTGGAATTAAGAATCTAATGGTGACCATGAATCCATTGTTGATTGTTGGAAAATCCCATCTGGTTCACTAATGTCCTTTAGGGAAGGAAACTGACATCCTTACCTGGTCTGGCCTACGTGTGACTCCAGACCCACAGCAATGTGGTTGACTCTTAACTTCCCTCTGGGCAATTTGGGATGGGCAATAAATGCTGCCTGGCTGGCGACGCCCTCATCCCGTGAATGAATTAAAAAAACCAGTCTGGCATGTTAGGGTGCCATAGAATGGCTCTGACTGCACTCCCCTGAGGAATCAGCACCACCTTCATCTTCCCAAACCAATTTTTGTGCAGGACCTCAAGGAACTCCTGCACGACCTGAGTGTTTCTCTTGGACAGTCTAGTAGTCGCCTGTTTCCTTTCTGCCTCGAGACCCTAAGCCATGGTGTGCCCACCTGTCTGTGCTATATCAATCTAACTGACGTTGTAAACTTGCTCACTGAGCCGTTGTGTTTGATTACAGACGCTTCGTCACCTTGCTAGGTAACATCGTCAGTGCGCCTCCGGTGAAGCGTTGGTGTTCTGTCCCGCTTATATTTATATGTCTTGTTTTGCTGGGGTGGTTGGCATCACTTCCGGTTTTGTTTCTCAGTGGTTTGTACACAGGCTCTAATTCAATGTGTTTGTTGGTGGAGTTCTGGTTGGAATACCAGGCTTCCAGGAATTTGTTTGGCTTGTGCTATTCTGGATGTGTTGTCCCAGTCGAATTTGTGTCCTTCTTTGTCCGTGTGTATTGAGACCAGTGAGAATTGGTCGTGTCTCTTGGTGGCTGGTTGGTGTTTGTGTATTCTTATTGTCTGTTTTCTTCCATTGCACATTGAACTCGACCCCATATACATTCCACTATGAAGGAAACCCGGAAGTGAGGCAATCCATCTCAACGGATCCCAGAGTTTAAAAACCAGGCGGGAGAACACACCGACGCTTCATCGGAGGCTGCACTGAGGATGTTACCAAGCGTGGTAACGAAACGTCTGCGAAACAAGAAACCAGCTCGGCGAGCCAACCAACTTCAACAACCTCAACAGTTTTCTTCCAGTTTGGCTTGTGTAATGTTTTTCACAGCCCTTGCATGGTATTTTGTATATTACGTTAGTTTTATTGCTTATGAGTATGGGATCCTTTGCATTCGTCAGTAGTTATCGTGGGGTGGTTGTTGGTTTGTGGGCTACCCTGATACTTAGGTATCTGAGTAGTCTTGTGGTCATCTCTGATATGTCTCTGATGTGTAGCAGGGTGACTATTGTGTCTGGCCATGTTGTGTCTTCTTGTTGTGGTCTGTCGTGGGGGTAATGGCAGATTGTGCTTTGTGGGTATCTAAAACAGAGACATGCCAGGGAATTCCTGGAGGCCTGGCGTTCCAACCGGAACTCCATCAACAAACACATTGAACTGGACCCAATATACAAACCACTGAAAATCAGAACTGAAAGTAATACCAACCTCCCCAGCAAACCGAGGCATAGAAATAACAAGTGGGACAGAACACTAACACTTCACCGGAGGCACACTGACGATGTTACCTAGCAGGGTGAAGAAACGTTGGCAATCAAATCTACTAGCTTGGCGAGCATGTCTACAACCTCATCCACAACCCAAGCTATAAATCTTCTCAAAAACTTTATCCATGTAACTCTCGGCCTTGCATATGCACCATGGTGACTTCAGCCACCATTCAGTCTCTGAAACCCAGAGCTCAGGTTTCTGCAGCTGGTATGCATCTCCGTCACCAATCGGACCCATGACTTCCCACAGGCCACCTATTCCACTCAACTGATCTGTCACATTTTAACGTTACTTCCCTTACATGAAAGTAATCTAAAGCAGAATAAAAGCTAATTTTCCTTATTATATTGGCCCTGACTTCTCTTATTCTTGGTGTTTCTCATGTAAATCCAATTGTGGCTACTTTAAAAATGATATGCTTTTCTAATTTACAACAGTTTAAAGACAGTCCCTAATAGTACTTTCTTACTGCCAATGAAATTACTGAGAAAGCTTAAAAGAGAAAAAAGTACCTTACCACCACCCTTCACCAAACCCCACACACTTTAGTACTTATAGGGAACCTGACTTAAAGCACCTCTTGTATTCCCCAGGACTGAACTCCCATTGTGCACCAATTCCCAAGTTTACACAATCTCTTTCTTCTCTGGTGAAGATTTCCTCACATTGAATGCATCCTGACTGACAATGCGCTTTAAGAATTCCCGTATTTACATAGCACTATGATGAAAGTCACTTTCCAGATTAATTTCCTGTCTCAGTAATCTACACTTTGTCTACTCAAAATCCTTTGCCTGAATAAACAGGAGGCTGGAAGAACACAGCAAGCCAGGCAGCAATTGGAGGAAAGGAGCAGTCAACGTTTCGCGTATTACCCTTCTTCAGGACTGGATGTGGGGGTAGGGGGAGCTGCAGATACAGAGGGGTGAGGGGAAGGGGTGGAAGCAGAATGGTGGTGATAGGAGGAAACTGGTGGTAGGTACGACCTGGTTGGTCGATGGGAGGGATGAACCCAGTTGGTGGCTGGAAGGGAGGGTCAGTAGGTGGATTGGAAGAGAGAGGTGGGGCTGGAAAGGGAGCCAGGGTTGGGTGGGGAGGTTAGTTGAAATTGGTGAACTCAATGTTGAGTTTTCCAGTGTGTAGGGTGCCCAGGCATAAGATAAGGTGTTGCTCCCCAAATTTGTGTCTGAATCATTCCAACACTGGAGGAGGCCGAGGACAGACATGTTGGAGGGGAGGGGGACGGGGAGTTGAAATGGGTGGTGACTGGGAGGTTAGGTTGGCCGTTACAGGCCAGGCGAAGTTGCTCGGCGAAACGGTCACCTAGTCTACATTTGGTCTCACTGACATAGAGAATAGCACATCAGGAGCACCAGATGCAATAGACTAGGTTGGAAGAGATGCAGGTGAAGCTCTGTCTCACGTGGAAGGGCTGTTTAGGGCCCTGGATGGAGGTGAGGGAGGTGGTGTGTGGGCAGGTGTTGCATCTTTTACGGTTACAGGGGAAGGTACCGGGCGGGTTGGAGTGGTTGGTGGGGAGTGTGGCGCAAACTAAGGAGTGGCGAAGGGAACGGTACTTGCGGAAGACAGAAAGGGGTGGGGAGAGGAAGACGTTCTGGGTGGTGGGGTCTAATGGGAGTTGGGGGAAGTGTTTGAGGATGATACAGTGGATGCGGAGGCTGGTGGGATGGAAAGTGAGGACAAGAGGGACCCTATCTTTATGTTTGGGGAGGGTGTGGTTAAGAGCTGTGGAGCGGGGAATGGAGGAGGTGTGGTGGAGGGCTGTCTGGATGACAGAGGGGGAAAACGCGTTGTTTGAAAAAGGCGGACATCGGGGAAGCTTGGGAGTCGAATGTCATCTCGTCAGAGCAGATGTGATGGAGACGGAGGAATTGGGAGAAAGGGATGGAGTTTTTGCAGAATACGGGGTAGGAGGAGGTGTAGTCTAGGTAGCTATGGGAGTCTGTGGGTTTATCATCAATATCAATCCGTAAACTGTCACCAAAAACGGAAACGGAAAGATCAAGAAAGGGGAGGGAGATGTCTGAGATAGACCAAGTGAATTTGAGGAGGGGGTGGAAGTTGTTAGTGAAGTTGATGAACTGCTGCCAGGATGCAACACCAATGCAGTCATCGATGTAATGGGTTTGAGTGATTGATAGATAACTGCTATTATCAAACAGCTTCCTGTTTAACTGGCTAGTTAACTTACGTAAAGGCTATGAGGTTGAGGTCAGAATGACTTTTATCCTAGAACTGAATTTGAAAAATATTATTCACAAATATGTTACCAGGACTGGAGCGTTTGAGTTATAAGGAGAGGGTAGATAGGCTGGGACTTATTTCACTGGTGTGTAGGAGGTTGAAGGTTTATCTTTAAAGAGGTTTATAAAATCATGAGCGGCATTAATATAGCAAAGGTCTTTTCTCTAGCATAGGGGAGTCCAAAACAGACGGCATAATTTTAAGGTGAGAGAAAAAGATTTAAAAGGGACCTGAGTGGCAACTTTTTCACACAGAGGGTGGTTTGTATGTGGGATGAACTGCCAGAGGAAGTGGTAGATGCAGGTACAGTTACAACATTTAAAAGACATTTGCGTAGGTACCTGAATAGCAAAGGTTTAGAGGGATATGGGTCAAACATGGGCAAATGGGACTAGTTTAGTTAAGAAACTTGCTCGGCGTGGGATGAGTTGGACTGAAGGGTCTGTTTTCGTACTGTATGACTCTACCAGTTGACTTCACACTTTGAATCAAGCTTCCAGATATACTCACTCAACCTCTGTCTCACTGAGGCAAACTCATCTTCACACTTCCTCCTTTATCCATCTTCCATCTGCCTCCCCCCTCTCTCTATTTATTTCAGAATCCCCTTCCCCTCCCCCATTTCTGAAGAAGGGTCCAGACCCGAAACGTCAGCTTTCCTGCTCCTCTGATGCTGCTTGGCCTGCTGTGTTCATCCAGCTTTACACCTTGTTATCTCATTCTCACACTGGCTGTGTGCCGTTAATCAAATCTTGTGGGCAAGATTTGCAGCAGCACATTGCTGAGGCAAAGCTGAAGTTGGGGTGGCGTTATGTGGTAATAGTTGGTTGATTTTGCTGTTGAACACATACAAGTCATGGGCATTGTTGGAAGGATGGAGGACAACCACAAAGTGGGTGAGCTGGAACACTGAGTTAGAAGGCAGAGATCTGTAAATTTGCAACCTGTGAACAAACCTACCGAGGGTAAATTCTGAGGAAAGGTCACTCAACACGAACTGTTAACTGATTTCTCTCCACAGACGCTGCCAGAGCTGCTGAGTTTTCCAGCAATTTCTGTTGTTGTTTCTGATTTACAGCATCCGCAGTTCTTTCAGTTTTTTTTAATGGAAGAGAAATTCTATCTATCTTCCTACATCACTGTTTGGCTTGGATCCATTCGACATTGCAGAGGTGGAAATAGGCAGTCTTATTGTTGGTACAAAATGTGTGGCTCCAAAAGGTGATCAGTTTGAAAATCCATCTTCGTGAATCAAGCCAAAGTGCTGTTTGTTGTGTCGTGCTGATGTATGATTTTGACTCTGTCGTGACCCTGCGACCTTTTTGAATTTTGATTTTTATTCTGTTTCAGGGCAGACAAGGAAGCCTTAGAGACCAATTTGTTTGAATCCCAGCACCTAGTTTCACAGCTGGAAACTCGTAAGGAGCAGTTAGAGGGAGAGAACCAGACCATCCTCCTTGCTGAGAAATCACTTCTAGGTTGTATATGTTTTAATGCAGGAGTCCCCATTTTTATATTTATGCCTATACATGTGTTGTGTGTGAATTTAAATGGTGCATGTAGATTACCACATGCCTAATAGAATAGTTTCATTCTTTGTACATTCTTAGACCAGCTGGTATTCAGTACATATTTAGTTCCTCCCTCAATAATTATTGTACCAACACAAGCCAACTTACGCTTTGCACTCAGCAATTTTATGCCTTATCTTTTAACATCCATCTAATGTACCCAACCAGGCTGCACCCTCAACATAGTAGTACCAATTCACTACACCGAGCAACATTTCAATCTCAGTTTATCAATCTTCGGCAAAGCAGGATAAGGGTGAGTGTGTTACTTTTAAAAATGGGAATGCAAAGCAATTGGAAAAGAATTTGAAAAGCTATTAGGAAGGCAAAGACGAACTGCAAAATTAATTTGTCATGGGATTTTAATAAAGAAATGATACATCATTTTACAGACACATAATTAACAAGATGAAAATAAGGATAGACAAAGGGCCACTTAGAGATGAGCAAGATGAGCTTGCAGGTAATGATATTGACAGAAATGGTAGATAATTAAGTTGTCTCAATATTGGCCACAGGTGGACATGACAGGGAAAAAAATCTTGCGTAGTAGACAATCATTTAAAACAGAAATGGAGCGATAATGAATAAACAGATCAAACTTGACTTTCAAATCTTAGTTTAAATGGTATGCACCTGTGCGTCTTCAAATAGGATTGCTGATTCATAAATCTCATTTCAAAGGGCAGAGTGCCAATGGACTTGGGTGGCATGGTGGCAAAGTGGTAAGTGCTGCTGCCTCACAGTATCAGGTACTCAGGTTCGATTCCAGCCTTAGGTGACTGTCCATGTGGAGTTTGCACATTTTGGGTGGCACGGTGGCTCAGTGGCTCAGTGGTTACACTGCTGCCTCACAGCAACAAGGACCTGGGTTCAATTCCAGCCCTGGGCATCTGTCTGTGTGGAGTTTGCACATTCTCCCTATGTCTGCGTTGGTCCCCTCTGGGTACTCCGGTTTCCTCCCACAGTCCAAAGATGTGCAAGTTAGGTAGATTGGCTGTACTAAAGTGCCCATAGTGTCCAGGGATGTGTAGGTTAGGTGGATTAGCCATGGGGTCTGGGTGGGATGCTGTTTGGAGAGTTGGCATGAACTTGTTGGACTGAGTGATCTGTTTCCATGCTGTAGGGATTCTATGAAAAGCTAATGCATTTATTATACTTCAGTAGGGAGGAGAATAATTCCAGTGAACTGCAGATCATCTGCATATTGTCGATAGTAGAAAAGATAATGAAAACTTCACTTAAAGATGTGGTAGAAAAACCTCTAGTCATTGGAAAAATATCAAAGAATGATCACTGTAATTTACAAATAGGATACTCATACTGGACCAACCCCACTGAATTCCTGGAAGAAGTAACAGAAAGAGTAGTAAGGGTAAAGCAGCAGATGCAATATAGAATCAGAGAGTAATGTTCCTTACTGAGGAGCCATCCCAGTGTATATTTTGGATATGAGCTCAGATCACATCATTTTATTTATTTTTAATCTATCTGTTTAGAGATGCTAGAATGCACGTCTGAAGCAGGTAGGGATCGAACCTAGGCCTCATGGCCCAGAGGTAGGGACACTACCACTGCACCACAAAAGCTTGCTCACTCCATTTTAATGTTTTTGGCAATGAGACTACTATGAGCCAGACTTCTGACTGTCTCCTATTGGAGCCACCAGCTCTGTACACCAGCTGGAGAGGTGGTCACTGCAGATGTTGCCGTAGGTCATGGAGATAGCATTCAGCAATGGACCCAAGATCTCTCCAAAGCATGGCTGATGGGGGCCCAGCAGGCCGTGTTAAACGGGACGGTGACTAAGGTAGATGTGGGGAGGCAAAACATGTGGAAGGGAAGCCTTCAATTGATACAGGAGGGCCTGCGGGTTGTGAGGGGTGAGGGGATTGTTGGGCTAGGGGCAGATGAAGCAGACCACTCACTCCATCCTTCATTAGCTGCATGGAAAACGAACTGCGCGACATGTTGAGTGCAGGTCCTTCCCATTGCCCATTTCATCAGTGTGGTAATGAGATGACTCCATTAACTGAGCATTAATTGCCCACTTAAGGGCTTCAATTGGGCCACAGGCAGGTAACCAATGTCTCTCACAGCATCAGTGTTGGGACAGATATACTAATGGTAGGTATGCTATGGCTGAAACTTCCAGGTCCACATATCTCCTTTCTGAATTGCAGTTAGCCTGTAATACTCAGTCCTCCAAATCCCAGGATGGTTTCAGTACTGAAGGAGACCATTCAACTCATCATGTCAGTTCCGGTTCTCTGCAAGAGCAGACCATCCAGTGCCACTCCCCTGCCTTTTCCCTATAGCCTTGTAAATATTTCATTTTCAAATAATCATAGAATTCTCTTTTTTTAAAAGACAAGTACCAGATAGTCTCAATGCTAACATCAGTGTGTCTGAATGCACAAGATAAATAGCAAAATGGATGATAAACTGGATTACAAAACAGGAAACAGATGGTGTTAAGGGGAGCTGCTCAGACAGGCAAAATATAGGAAATGGTTTTCTATAGGGATCAGTGCGGGGACCACTGTTGTTCGCAATATGAATGGAATGATCGAGAGCCATGAATTAGAAGTAGGGTTTCTAAATTTGCAAACAACTCCAATAAGAAGAAAAAATGTGACCAAATACAACAGGATAATAATGAACTTACAGAATGTCTGTGTAATTTGCAAATAAATTTCAATAAGTGTGTAACATTCGGCAGATTCTGCATTGTTTTGGTTACATGTGAGATACGTTGTATTATGGAGGGATTCTCACCGCGAGGCCTGGTGAGAGATCTCACCAAACCTACCTCATTAACCTAATCCACCCTATGGCATCATTTGTGTTCAGTTCTATCCCCATCTTACTACACGTGGCTCCTGGACCAGCTCACCACTCGCGGGATATCCACTGAAAGACCCTGGCACCTGTGCCATCTTTAAAAGACAGCTGTGCACCCAGATGACAGCTGGCTTTTTGAAGCTGCCCTGCTCATTCACGAACAGATACTGAACTTTTCAGAGAAGGGCTAGATGGTGCTGTGATCCTCCGTCTGTGTTAAGACCCTGCTCTGCAACCAGTGGATGGAAGCAAGATGAACAAGCCCTATACAGGACAATGGATAATGCTGGCACCATTGCCACTCATCCTACAACATCCATGTTCTTTCTTTGGCCTCTGTGTGTAAAAGTATTGGTTTGAATGTGCTGTTCAGTGATGTCTGGGGCAGGGAGATGCATAACCAGCATGGTACAATGCATTAGGATGGTCAGGGGTTAGAGACCCCACACCCCCGTGCCCTGTACAGTGCATAGGTCTGTGTGTAAAGTTGTTTCCCAGTAGAGGGCCTCATGCTGTTGGGTCCTGCAGCCCTATCCCTCACAGATTAAGACACTTGCCCTACCACTCCCGGTGTGATCACAGCTATATTCTTTCCCAAAGCACACTTTTGATTTCAGTAGAATGGAGGGAGACAGTGAGTGTTTTTCAGCCAAGGGCTTCCAAAACTGGGAAGATATAAATATCAGGAAAAACTGAAGATAAAATCAAGGCAGAGGATGAGGTGATAGATAGCTTGGATAATGAAAGGCTTTGCTACACTACACATTGAGACATTCTTTCCAATTAAGGTTTTCAAGGAAACTTCTTAACTCAAAGAGTGATAAGGATGTGAAATGTGCTACCACATGGCAAGAAAATGAAGAGGTTGTCTTTACATAGTGGATTCAACAACTTGCATTTGTATGGCTACTTGTATAGAAAAGCACCAAAGGCACTTCACAGGAGCATTATCAAACAAAACTGACACCCAGCTGTATAAGCTGTATTAGTCAAAAAACCGATTGAGTTTGATATAAATTGTCTTGCAAGCAATGCCCTCTCCTATCTAGATACACTGCCCCTCAGTTGGATAACCAACCCTACTGTACCAAGACACATAGAAACATAGAAGATCGGAGCAAGAGTAAGCCATTCGACTCCTCAAGCCCAATTCAACATTCACTATGATCAGGGCTGATCACCATGTTCAATACACTAATTCCACCACTCACCCCCCTCCATATCCCTTGATCCCTTTAGCCACAAGAGGTCTATCTACCTCCTTCTTGAAAACATTCAATGTTTCGGCCTCAGCCGCTTTCTGTGACAGAGAATTCCACAGGCTCTTCACTCTCTGGGTGAAGAAATTTCTTTTTATTTCAGCCCTAAAAGATTTACCATTTACTCTTAAACTATGACCTCAGCTCTGAACTCCCTCACCATTGGGAACATACTTCCTGAATCTAACCTTTCTAGTCCTTTTAGAATTTTATGCATTCCTATGAGATTCCCCCTCGTTCTTCTAAATTCCAGTGAATACGTTTCTCGCTGATTCAATCTCTCCTCCAACATCATACACTGCACCCTCAGCTGAATACCACCTTCCCTACTGTACTCAGATGCACTGTCTCCTATCCTACTGTACCCATGTACACTACACTTGTGCTCAAATCCAGACTTGTGGTATAATTGTGCTGAAATGTATCTGAACAGTGATGTTTCAGAAAAAAATGACTGTGAGGTTGTAGACATGCTCACTAAGTTGTTGGGTTTGTTTGCAAATGTTTCGTCACCCTGCTAGGTAACATCAGTGTGCCTCCAGTGAAGCATCAGTGTTCTGTCCCACTTGTTATTTATATGCCTCACCAGGATAAAATTCACAAAAGGAGAAGAGAACAACAACCGACTACCATTCCTAGACATAATGATAGAACACAAAAACAACAGGGAATTCCAAACCAGTGTATATTAGAAGGACCACACATACAGACCAGATACTCAATTACACTAGCAACCACCTCAAACGGAGCTGCATCAGGACACTATTTAAATGAGCCACAACACATTGCAGCAACCCAAAACTACGCAAAGCAGAACAGGAGCACCTATATGGACTCTTCAAAAGAAATGGATACCCGAAAAGCACAATCCGCCATTACCTCCGAGGCAGACCACAACAGGAAACACAACACGACCAGACTCACTAATCACCCTACCGTACATCAAAGACATTTCAGAGATGACCACAAGGTTACTCAGACTCCTAGGTATCAGGGTAGCCCACAAACTAACAACCACCCTGCGACAGCTACCAACGAACGTAAAGGATCCCATTTCCAAAACCAGCAAAACCGGTGTATTATTACAAAATACCCCGCAAGGATTGTGAGAAACACTGCATAAGCCAAACTGGAAGAAAACTGACAATATGGATACACAAACACCAACTAGACACCAAAAGACACGACCAATTCTCACTTGTCTCACTACACACCAGCAATAAGCAACACGAATTTGACTGGGACAACACATCCATAATCGCGCAAGCCAAACAGAGACATGCCATGGAGGCCTGGTATTCTAACCAGAACTCCATCAACAAACACATTGAATTAAACCCCGTGTACAAATCACTGAGAAACAGAACTGGAAGTGGTACCAAACACCCCAACAAGCTAAGGCATATAAATAACAAGCGGGACAGAACACCGATGTTTCACCGGAGGCGCACTGAAGCTGTTACCTAGCAGGGTGACGAAATGTTTGCAAACAAACCAACCGGCTCAGCGAGCAAGTCTACAACCTCATCCACAACCCGAGCTACAAATCTTCTCGAAAACTTTAAAAATAACTGTCATTGCCTTATTCATTTCAGTGGAAATTGACAGTGTCCGCAAGGAGATGGAGCAACAGCTGATCAACTTTGAACAGGATAAAGAGCTATTGCAACAGAAACTAAATCAAGTCGAGCAGGAGGCCAAGCTCTCACTGAACAATGAGAAACTGATCCATGATGAGGATGTTGAACGCCTCCGGAAAGAAAAGGTATGACGTGAAGAAGTATCTTGGGAAGTCAAACTTTCCACATATGTTAAATAAAGTCTACTCTATCTGCCCTGTATAACAGACTACCAACTGTTTAATCTCCTTCCACCTAAAATTAACCTACAATTAACATTTATTTTGCTGAGTGAAGATTTTTTTGTAATGTTCGCCTGTTCCCAAAGTTAATGAGTAATGGAATAGTGTGCTGGGGGCAATCGATACTCAGTCACATGCAGGGATATGCGATGGCCTAGTGGTTTTATCACTGGACTGTTAATCCAGAGACCCAGGTAATGTTCAGGGCATGAGGACTATGAATCGATTGATGGAAAAAGCCATCTGGCTAACTAATGTCTTCACGAAAAGGAAACTGCCATCCTTACCTGGTCTGGGTTCCATGTGACTTCAAACCCACAGCAATGTAGTTGCTCTCTGGGATGGGCAATAAATCCTAGCTTAGCTTCCCTCATTCTATGAATGGATTTTTAAAAAATGCAATAAACCTTTATACCACTTAAGCCTTAAACAGGGTATGAAATTGTCACATGCAGCATGCTGAACAAAAATGAAGTCTGTAAAAGCATTGAATAAATGTGTCGACATAAATTTGTTGAATCAAAAGATCGATGTTTAAGATTCTAAGGGTGAGGGCTATACATAGTGACAACTGGCTCCTGTTTTATTCTCTCCACAGGAGAGCCTACACCTTGAGCTGACCTCAGAGAAGGATGCGGCCATTCAATGTTTTCAACTTGAACGCGAAGACCTAGTCACCCGCTTTGAGGAGGAGAAAGAAGAGCTGAACGAAGAAATCCTCAGTTTACAAAAAGAGAGGGACGAGAGTCTGATTCAGGCAGAGAGCCAGAAACAGCAGGTAAAGAACACATTGGTGTCTTTAAATATCCTCATGCAAACTGCAGGATACTCCGTGGGATTGTAGTACTGAACTGTGAAACGCACAGTACTTGGAGACAGTCCATGGAACTGAAGTGTGGGACTATATTCCCCAAGCATCATGCTCTAAAAATTGAAGTGATCTTACACACATTACTGAGGATATCACATGTGGTTAAAGGAGGAAAGGTCACATTTTTCCACACAGTGAAGGGGAGGATTTATAGGAAGGAGGCACTCTGGCTGCAGATTGGTTTTGGCAGATTCTTGACAGCTTCCTTTTGCCACCTCACTAGGCTGCTGCATAGAATGCAATTGGTTGAACTGGGATCTTCCAGATTGCACTTATAAGCATTCCAGCAGTCTTGCCCTGTGATAACTAAAGCATCCCACTGACACACAGCTTCTAAACTGCACCTGTTATTTGCTTGTGGTTGATAAAGCAACTCCATATGTGTGCTGATGTTATTGTTTAATTGAATCCCTTTGCCACACTTTAATTGACCCCTGATGAGATAATTATGAACTGCAGTTTCCTTTGTAAATGTAACACTTTATTCCAGTCTGATTTAATGACCAGTCAGATGTTCATTCTGTCAAACTCACGTGTGTACAGGGGAGGTGATGGCCGAGTGTCATTATCGCTAGACTATTAACCTAGAAACTCAGTTAACATTCTGGGGACCCACGTTCAAGTCCTGTCATGGCAGATAATGGAATTTGAATTCATTAAAACAAAATATCTAGAATTAAGAATCCACTGATGTCAGGGAAAAAACTCATCTGGTTTACTAATGTCCTTCAGGGAAGGAAGTCTGCCATCTTCACTTGAGGTTGACTGTGAAATGGCCTAAAAAGCTGGGCAGCTAAGGACAGGCAATAAATGCTGAATAAATTGTTAATTATTTTTGCGCTCTTGGCAGCATCCTTTTAAGGGACTGTTCTACAGTAAATGAAACCCGTGAAATGAATCAGAGAACCCTGGCCTGTTTTCATGGCTTCCATGCACAATCGATGCCTCCAAGAACTCAACTGAGCTTGCCACCTCTGATGAGCTCTGTTTCCCACACGTCCACTTGTACCAGGGAAAACAGCCTCCTCTGTGAAATGTGACATAGCACCTTCTGCTGCAGAGTCGTCAGGTGGCAAAATTCAGTTCTGCCCAGTGATAGGGGCAGAGTTTATTGCCAAGTTTTCAATCAGTCACACAGGGTAATTCCAGCAGTCACCGAACGAGAGTTCAAAGTAGACAAGCAGATACTGAGGGTAAAGGTGGGAAGGAGAGAGATGTAGATTTCATTTGTTTTAAGGAGTGCAGCACGTAGCTGTATTGCTGGGAAGACAGCTGAAATATAGAGGGGAAACTCACTGAGGAGTTGAAGGTAGTTAAAATGGTTCTAAATTGTTCAAACAAACTCAGGAAGAAATTCCAGGAATTCGTAGGTGGCTAAGAGTTGGAATCAAGGTTCGGAGAAAGACCTGGGAGCTGAGAAAGTAGGAAGGTCAATGACTCTGTTTTGGGAGAACCATCAAGGGCTTGGAAGAAGCCAGTTCACATTAATACTTCAGTGTAACTGAGAGAATAGAAGATGGTTGAAATCTCACAAGGAAAACCTGTTCCATGGAAACTGAGCAAGATTAAAACTAAGGGGAAAAAAGCCAGGGGCAACACTAGCTCGGTAAAGCTAGCTGTCTGAGAGCAGAGGCCATACTTATGAGTATTGATTACGGTTTCAGAGTCCAAGTGAGCTTAGACCCAATGCAAAAGGTGATCAACCAGAACAGGAGCAGTTGTTGAGGCATTCGGTGATACAACAACTTTTGAGAGGGCATCTTGAGGCCAAAAAGACATAAATAAAGAATTATAATCTCTTGCGAAGCCAAATGAGATTTGATACCCCATCATGTTATTAATGTCTGGGAGAGTTCCTGAGAAATCTGTGGGATCTGTCTTGATCACATTTGCTGTTTGATATATGCTGTGGGGTGTTCAAGCATAGTATATTATCCATTTTTAACACATGATAATTCTGTATATCAGAAGTAAGTTGTAAATGTAAATTGCATTACTGTTCTAACTTGTAAAGTATTGTTCGTTCAAAATATTGGAATCATATGGCTTTATTCTAAAGTTCCCTGGAAACTCAACTTTTACCTAGATTAAAAATGACAGGTTAAACCTCCCTAACCAAATTGTCATGTTTAAATATGGTGGTCTGGGGTGGAATCATAACAACACTTTAAAGCAGAGTCATGTGCAGCCTCTATTGGCACCCCCCTAATATACTTTTGGTAGACATTGACTCTGAAACAACTTGTTCTTTTCCAGGATGAATGAAAGTACAGAAGTAGTAGGAACTGCAGATGCTGGAGAATCTGAGATAACAATGTGTAGAGCTGGATGAACACAGCAGGCCAAGCAGCATCAGAGGAGCAGGAAGGCTGACGTTTCGGGCCTAGACCCTTCTTCAGAAATGAAGGGTCTAGG